GGGGTGGATTTTGGGGTGGATTTGGGGGAATTTTGAGGGGAATTTCGGGGTGGATTTTGGGGTGGATTTGGGGGAATTTTGAGGAGAGTTTTGGGGTGGATTTTTTATGGTGGATTTGGGGGAATTTTGGGGCCGGTTTGGGGGGGATTCAGGGTAAATTTGGAGAGGGGGGAATTTTGAGGGTGGATTTTTTGGCATTTGGGGGCGTTTTGGGGGGGGGGATTTTCCCGGCGCCGTTCCGGGGAGGTTTTGGGGGACATTTTGGGATTTTTGGGGCTGTCGCAGGCGCTGACCCCGCGCACCCTGCTGGGATTCATGGCCGACATCGCGGCTGGGATGAGCTACCTGAGCCAGAGGAACTTCGTGCACCGGGACCTGGCAGCGCGGAACTGCATGTGGGGACACGGGGGGGACATTGGGGACGTTTGGGGACGTTTGGGGACATCGAGGATATTTGGGGGACGTTTGGGGACATCAAGGCAGGGTCTGGATCTTGGGTTTTGGGAGACTTGGGGATTTGAGAGATTATTTGGATTATTGGGATTTTGGGGTTTGGGGATTTGGGGTTTGGGATTTGAGGGTTTATTGGAATTTGGGGATTTGAGGATTTGGGGGATTATTGGGATTTTGGGGTTTGGGATTTGAGGGTTTATTGGGATTTGGGGATTTGAGGATTTGGGGTTTGAGTGTTTGGTTGGTTTTTGGGATTTGGGGGTTTATCGGGATTTGGGGATTTGAGGATTTGGGGTTTGGGGGTTTGGGGGATTATTGGGATTTTGGGGTTTGGGATTTGAGGGTTTATTGGGATTTGGGGATTTGGGGATTTGGGGTTTGGGGGATTATTGGGATTTTGGGGTTTGGGATTTGAGGGTTTATCGGGATTTGAGGATTTGGGGGTTTGGGATTTGTGTATTTGGGTGTTTGGGGGTTTGTGGATGTGGGGGATGACTGGGACTGGGTGGTTTTGGGGAATTGCTGGTTTTGGGTGTTTCGGGGCGCTGACGCCGTGCCCGTGTCCCCAGGCTGGACGAGCGGCTCCGGGTGCGCGTGGCCGATTTCGGGCTCTCCAAGCAGGTGGGCGGCTCCCAGTATTACCGGCAGGGCCGCGGGGCGCCCGTGCCCGTCAAGTGGGTGGCCCTGGAGAGCCTGGCCGAGCGCGTCTACACCACCAAGAGTGACGTGGTGAGACCCCAAAAACCCCCAAAACTGCCCCAGAAATGGGCTCGGGCGGCCCAAAAACCCCAAAAGAACCCCATAAAAATCCCATAAAAACCCTCAGAGAAGTCTCACAAAAATCCCTCAAAAATCCCCCCAAAAATCGCCCCAAGAATCCCATTAAAAAATCTTGATTAAAAAACCCATTAAAAAAAAAACCCATAAAAAATCCCCCCCCCCCCAAAATCCCCCAAATCCACCCAATTTCCACAAAAAACCTTTAAAAATCTCCCCAAAATCCCAAAAATCCAAACCCAGGAGCCCCAGTCTGGCTCCTCAGGGACCTCTTTGTCCACTCAGCGGTCACTTGGAGTGACCATGGTGGGCATGACTCCAGAGTGAGCCCGGAGTGAGCCCGGAGTGACCCCTGAGTGACCCCAGTGACCCCTGAGTGACCCCTGAGTGACCCCAGTGACCCCTGAGTGACCCCTGAGTGACCCCTGAGTGACCCCAGTGACCCCTCGGTGACCCCATCAGAGTGACCATGTGGGAGATGGGGGGGAGGTGCCCCTGGGATTGTCTCAGGGGTCACTCCGGGGTCTCTCCGGGGTCACTCCGGGGTCTCTCCGTGTCCGCAGTGGTCATTTGGAGTGACCATGTGGGAGATCGCCGCCCAGGGCCTGACCCCATACCCGGGGCTGGAGAACAGCGAAGTCTTCGAGTTCCTGAGGGGGGGGCGGCGGCTGGGGGCGCCCCCGCAGTGTCCACCGCACCTGTGAGTGACCCCTGAGTGACCCCCCAGTGACCCCTGAGTGACCACTCACCCCCCACTGACCCCCCCACTGACCCCCAAACCCCCTCAATGACCGCTGACCCAACCCACCAAACCCCCGCAGTGTCCACCGCACCTGTGAGTGACCCCTGAGTGACCCCTGACCCCTGAGTGACCCCTGACCCCTGAGTGACCCCTGAGTGATTCCTGACCCCCCCAGTGACCCCTGAGTGACCACTCACCC